GGTCAATTCTCCAATTCCAGGCATTTGGAATTAAGACCCTGCATTCCACACAACAACGTTCAAGTCCGCCTGCACTCAGAAATTCCACAATAGATTGGCTAACATTTATTTCAGAAAAACAAAGTGAACTGTAACATTTGTAACAAAAAGTGGCCGTCGATATATTTATGGTATATCTTTGTTTGTATATCTATTGTAGAACCCCAGATTGAACCATGATTATCAGAGCTAGGCCTTCAGTTTGGGCCATAAATGTCAAAACAAGGAAAAATACATCTCTACGATAATGTTAATATCTGCTAGCACCTCTATGAGATTCTAGTACTACATTAGTGCTAAGCTACCTGTGATTAAAACAAACATTTGGCTGCTTTAGATTAAAAATGTTAAGCTTGTAAAAGAAATAAACATATATTGAGCTTGTAGCAGTTTTACAGGGTGTCTTCAGCAAAGAGTCCTGGCATAGAGCTGCTGCCATTGCAACTGGCTGAAACCTAGACCTTCCAGAAGGCCTACAGTGACATCCGTGACTGATTCCACTGTAACATCCTTACTATGTTAGTATACATTAGTCCTTCTGTGCAGCTCCTGCAGTCCTAACCAATGGAAGAGCTTACTTGGCTGTCTCTACTTAGACACCACAGAGAAAAACATCTTCATTAGACAGTTTTTCTTTGGGTGTTTTAGAAATGTAGCCCTTTTGTTTGCGACCGAAACATAACAAGGAAATAAGAGTATTGCTGCAATACTTGCAGAGCTTAAATACAACAAGCATAATGATATTATTAAATAAAAATTAACAATCACAGGAAAGTATTTGTTTCATTTCACAGAGATTTTTCACTTGTAATCATCAAAATGCTTCTTAAAGCGGTACGCCACTAGAATCATACACAGAACACACTCTCGTATGTTTTTGACTCGTGAAACCTGAATGCTCAACAGCATAAAAAAACAAAAGTTCTGTTGAAACACTTAGCTTTACTACCTATAATGAAAAATATCATTGCTTTTCCCAGTAATGTGTTGGCTTTGTAGAGGCCAGTTTTGAAACGTAGTTTTTACCTCATCGTTTAATGCCGCACAAACACAACACCTCATTATTTCCAGGCCAAGCTTCATAGATCTGGATGGATGTCACTTGTGGTCTGTCTTTAGTTCAAAGTGAGCCATTCACATGTGCTAATCCAGGGCTGGCCATCTCATATTGCCCTTATTAACATGTTCCAACACAGCTGTCTTGCATCAAAACAGCTGGACTGAGGATGATAACCCTGCCCTAACCTTTTCTGTCCCATTTGAGCTAAGTTTGTGTTAGCAGCCTTGAAGCGTATGCCGCAGGGAAGCTGCAGCCTTCTCCCTGCTTTCACTTCGGCATTGCCCCGAGTTTGACTGATGAAGTGTCAGTGTGGATTTTCTTCTCCTTTCTTGGGTTCTGCAGTGGAGGAACAGCCTGGTGATGACAGCTCTTGCCCTACCTCACTGTCTAAAGTGAGCTGTGTTTTTTTTTTGGATGGTGCTTAGTCTTTCTCTGCCACGTCTGACCCCTTTTTTTCTGCCAAAGTTAGTCACATCCATTTCCCAGTGGACACTGCACCACCACGTTGAGATGGCAAGGCATGGGCCAAGGTGGCTGCAACGAGTACTTGTCGCCAACATTGATTATGCAAAAAAATTGTCAACACACCCTGCTGGGGGGCTGCATAGCTGCAGGCCAATCAGACTGTCCCCTACTTCCTGTCCACCACTGGAAGCATTTACAATTGGCATGCAAATGTCAGAACTGAACTGTAAGGCAATTTAAGAAGGTTGCCTGGTCCAATGAGTCCCGAGTCCCATTTACTTTTATATCACTTGGACAGCTGGGTATGTGTGCACCATTTACCTGGAGAAATGATGGCACCAGGATGCACTGTGGGAAAAAAAGCCTGCATAGGGAGTGTGGTACTCTGGGTGATGTTCTGCAGGTAAAACCTGGGTCCTTCGTAACAAAAATACTTGATACTGTCAAAAGTTGATGCTTAAACTCGCATGACAAGAAGTTTGTAAATGCTCAGTTTACATATGACTAACTAAGTGAAGTAGTACGGCTAAACATGCTGTGGCTAGAGATGAAAACATTATCTTATGGAAAGAATGGACATGGATATGGAACAAAAAAAAGTATTGAAATACAGATTTCTGAATGGTGATCATTGAGAATCATTCTGAGAATTGCTATAAATTTACTTTGTCAGTCATTTACACTAAAGAGATGGTTCTTCAAGGGTTCTTCAGTATAGGTATCAGTTCTGTATTTTCCAGCCCAGAAAAGGATGGCATGCCCACTCCAGGTAAGGGGAAAGGACTCAGATGGAGGAGTTTTAGTATCTTGGGGTCTTGTTCATGAGCTATGGGAAGTGGGATGGTGAGATCGGCCGCAGGCTGGGACAGGCAGCGGTAATGCAGTCACTGTACCAGACTGTAGTGGTAAAGAGGGAGCTGAGATATAAGGCAAAGCTCTCTGTTTACCAGTCAGTCTACATCCCAACCCTCACCTATGATCATGAGCTGTGGGTAATGACCGAAAGAATGAGATCGCGGATACAATAGAGAAATGAGCTTTCTTCACAGGGTGGCGGGCTACACTCTACTTGATAGGGCGAGGAGCTCGGACATCTGGGAGGAGCTCAAAGTAGAGCTACTTCTCCACATTGGGAGGAGCCAGTTGAGGTGGTTCAGGTCTTTGATCAGGATGCCTCCTGATGGGGGTTTCCCAGGAATGGTCTACTGGGACAAGACCCCGAGGTCATCCTAGGACCTGCTGGAGGGATTATACCTCCAAGGTGGCCCGGGAGGGGCTCAGGAATAAGCATTTATAAACATTTATGTAGGGTTAAGTCAGTTGTCATGACAAGCTTAGGTGGGTGTTATGTAGCCTTATGAACTGTACCCTACAGTAAAGTGTTACCAAATTTTCTTGTTCCTCCTTAAACGGTGCAGCAGTTACATTCTGGCACCTCAGGCATTTTAATAATAACTTCCACACCATTTAAGGTGGAACGGGAAAATTCAAACAAGTAGACTTCAGCTTTGTCAGAGAACACGAGGAAGTACTTCGTTGAGTCTCTGTATCCACGGAATATGATAGCGTTTTTACTGACATGCCGATTCTCACTGGATTTAAATAACTTGAGGTTATTTTTATTGTTTTACAGAACGTAAAAGGTGCCAGAATCATCACACTTAAGCGTGCTGTCGATCAAAATGACTGATGTACCACATTCGGACAGGACTAAAATCGCTGAGAAATGCTGGCAATAATGACCTTACCCCACCTCCTCACGTAGAACTAATCCTGTCAGAATAGGGCTTTAGTTGATTAATTGAATAATTATGACATGACAGATATAATTATTAGTTGTCGGGTACATTCCTGCACTGCTTCGCTTTTACTGAGTGCACCATTACAAACGTTTTTTCAAAACTCACTTCAGCTGTCCAGCTTTTTCACCTTCTACACAGCTGGTGACTTGTCCAGATCTGGGTTTCATCCCAGTGGCTGATGGAAGCTGACCCAAGCGTCTTTAGATCACCCAGCTAACATTTCCACATGTTTGAGAGCGATGCCAGTGTTTCCAAATTCTTTCAAGCACCAAATTCATCCTGGCAAAGATTTTATCCATGAGCCATTTCACTAACGTGCTTTGCGGATCTGCTGAGGCAGGGGTTATTATGCCTTTCCAAATTGTGAGCACTTTCTAGAAGCAGTAATGAGTTGAGTACCAAGCATAGCCTGGAGTTAGCGGCTTATGCTGAAAGTTTTGTTTGCATCCAAATTGTTGAATATTGAACCCCAGCTTGTCTCAGATTCAGAGCGTTTGTTTTTGTCTCCTTTAAGTCATTAAAATCTGGCCCCTGAGTCGCTAGTGTTTTGTGTAAGATCACTTCACACATACCAAAAAAACCGGGAAACAACAGAAAGTAGATTAATAGACATAAGTAGCTGATTAAGGTAGAGCTCTTTGTGTAGAATGGGATTATATTGGGGCTACACTATATCCTTCATGTATCTCACTGTTGCAGATAGTATCTGGTGTCAGCTTCTTCCTGCTATTTCATTTTGCAGTGATGATGCTGGACGATAATTGTAGGTAAAGCTGGTGGGTCAGTGAGAATGGAATTAGTGTGTGGTGCATGTGTGTATGCGTGTACTTGTTTTTATACATTTACAGGACAAAATCATTCTAGATATGCAGGAAAACAAGAGAAAAACAGGGTTATTTTGAAGGTTCTGACTTTACTAACTACTTTTTACACTCCTCAAATGGCCAGGGCCCACCAACAGGCCCAAAGGTTTATTACACACCTCTATAACCTAAGAATAGCAACCCAGTTGCATCAAAGTCCCTGTAGTTACAGAATAATAAGCCTTAGTATGTAATGAAATGAAACGTTAAGGGGTTAACAAAAGTTTTAAACATAAAAGGGAAAAAACACATTATTTTTGATTACTTGGGTTAAGACTAGGTTTGGGTTTAGGCTCAGATAAGTCTATCGTCTGCTCATCTAGCATTTCATTGGAAATGGATGGTATTAATAGTGAGATTGTCCTCCTTTGCTACAGTAACAGCCTCTACTCCTCAGGGAAGGCTTTACGCTAGATGTTGAAACATTGCTGTGAGGATTTGATTGCATTCAGCCACAAGAGTATTAGTGAGGTCGGGTACTGATGCTGGATGATTACAACCCTCAACTCCAACTCTGTCAGCTAGAGGGGCTTTATACCCTCTAGCTGATGCTCAGCATTAGCCATGTTGACCCAATAGCTGATGTGCGGCAGGTCCAGTGTCAAAGTATCCCTATGTAGATTTTACAAGCTGTACGTGTGCAATTGAATCAGTGATAGGTGCACATTGACTGATTATAAGGGCTGACTAGATACATTTGGACATTAAAGTGTATAAAGTGAATATTATATAAAGGACATATGGGAATGTGTGTTTGTTTGAGCGGCTCACCACAGGCTGCAGTTGTGTGCCAGGCATCATGGCGTTGGCCAGTTGCATCTGCTGTGCGAGCATGGCCATGTTCTTCTGCTGGATCAGGTTATTTCTGCCATTGATCTCCAGCTGCGTCTTCAAGTGTGGTGGAGGGTGCAGGTACTTACAGTTCTCTCTGGAGCAGCGGCCCTGAGAGAGAGAGGGAGAGACAGAGAGAGAGTTCATGAATATTAGAACACAGTCAATGCGCTCAAAGCTCACAGGTCAGAGAAATTTTTAAATATTTTTAACTATTTTTTTCATCCATCCCCACAGAAATGGAATATCGCTGTATGCACAAACAGAGTGGGAGAAAAAGCATAAAGAGAGTGAAAAAAAGACAAAGAGGGAATAAGAGAGATGAGAGGAAGGGGGGAACTGTAGAGGGGAAGAAAGAAGCAAAGAGAAAGAGGAAAAAAGGAGATGAAGACAGAAAGAGAGAGAGAGAGACAGAGTAAGAGAGAGCGAGAGAGAGTTTATAATTATTAAAACAGAGAGAAAGAGGAAGATAGAAAGAGTGAAATGAAAGAATGGGCTACAGAGCGAAAGAGAGAGGAAGGAAAAGGAGAGAGACAGAGCGAGAGAATGGGTAAGAGAGAAGGATAGAATGAGAGGAGCAAGAGAGAGAGAGACACAGAGAGAGAAATAAAGGAAGAGAGAGAAAGAAAGAGAAGCAGAGAACAAAGAGGGAGAGAAACAAACAGTGAAGAAAAGATAAAGAGGGAAAGAGAGAGAGATGAGACGGGAAGAGAGAAGCATGAAGAAAGAGAAAAAAGAGAGACAAAGACAGAAAGGGCGTGAAATGGGGGAAAGGGATGAAGAAAGAATGAGAGAAAGAGAGAGAGAGAGAGAGAGAAAGGTAGAAAGGGAAAGAAACAAAGAGCAAAACAAAGAAAGCAGAGAGAGAAAAGAAGCAAAATAAGAGACAGAAAAGAAGAGAGAGGAAGAAAAACAGAAAGAGAGAGTGAAGAGATAGATAGATGGGGGGTGAAAGAGAGAGGAAAAGAAAGAAACTAAAAAGAGGGAGAGAGAATACACAAAAAGAAAGGAAGATAGAGAGTGAAATGAGAGAAAGGGATAAAGAGAGACAGGGAAGAAAAGGATAAAGTGAGAGAGAGCAAGAGACAGAAAGAGACAGAGAGAAAAAGAGAGAGAGAGAGAGAGAGAGACATTCTCCTGCTGTGTGTATTCCTCTCAGGTGCAGACACAGTCTGGGAGATGGAGGTGGTTATATTGGTATAGTATGTCTGATGCTACGCGGGAATCGGACGTGGATTGTAATTCAGCCAGTCATAAAGCCTGTACAGCCCTGACCAATCTCACTCTCTCTCTCTGTCTCTCTCTGTCTCTCTCTCTCTCTCTCTGTCTCTCTCTCTCTGTCTCTCTCTGTCTCTCTCTCTCTCTCTCTCTGTCTCTCTCTGTCTCTCTCTCTCTCTCTCTCTGTCTCTCTCTCTCTGTCTCTCTCTCTCTCTCTCTGTCTCTCTCTGTCTCTCTCTCTCTCTCTCTCTGTCTCTCTCTGTCTCTCTCTCTCTCTCTCTCTGTCTCTCTACCATTCTTTTTCTGTTCTCACCTCTGTGCTCATAACAGTCCCATGCTGTCTTGTGCTACACTCCCCATGAATACTGAACAGATTTGGCCAGAAGGGGGATGTGGGTGTATACGTGTGTGTGTGTGTTTGTGTGTGAGGACTGTGTGTGTGAGGAGAGTGTGTTGTCAGCCATCAGGCTGTAATTACCCAGGAGCAAACAAAGGCTATCACGCAGGATGCGGCTGATGACCCCCCCGGCCCCCCTGCTAAAACACTGACACACACCGCCCTCCCTCTGCGTGCGCGTGTGTGTGTGTGTGGACTCCACCTCTTCTATCGAACTGACCGCTGTGTTTGGCCCGAAAAGACTTTCTTTCAGCACGGCTACCGTACGCTCCTCTGTCTGTTCCATTCTGCCTGATTGGCTGGGAGACGAATGATTCTGCCTGGCAACTAGGCGACGGTGCAAGCTGATTGGCTGGCGGCCCAGCGCCTGACTGGCTTCCAGCTCCACGCTGCCTCCGAGGGTAACCTTATTTAACTCTCTGCATGTTATCGATTGCTGCTAATTGCTAAATTCTTTTCCCTTTACAGGGCTGTCCCCCGCAGCCCGGGGCCCGACTGCGCCTGTACCTGCATTAATGCTGCCCACTGCCCTCCTCTCTGCCTTAAAGCGACAGTTCGGCCAAATGTGCACAGTTCTGCTGCCACAAATGTGTTTAATCAGTGCCAGAACTTTGCCTCCTTGGCTATGCACTGGATCTATGAGGCCAATGCAGCTAACAAGTAAAGATTATAACCATCAGTTAAACAATTTAGACTTTCTTATGATAGGCTGTTGTCTAAAAATGGACAACTGTATGTCACATAGCTTAAAACAGTAGTAGCATTTATCGAGAAGCCTCCATTTTTCTGTAGGTTTTGTTTTTGTATGATTATCTCTCAGCTAAGCTGAGAGTAAACAAACCTGGTTTAAGGGGAGCCTGGCCTCTTCCTATTTCCCTCATTATATCAAAAAACAGGACTGCAAGACTCCAGAGGGCACCTGCGAGCGATTTCTTTAACAAATGGAACTAAATGGAGCTAAAAGCAAAAAGCTTTCCTTTAATTTTAGAAAGTTGAAGGATGTATTTTACTAAAAAACAATTAAAACTTATATCTTTCCTTTTTTCAACAGCAAACAGGTTTTGGGCAGCAGGATGCTAACATTACTGCTACTGAGTGCTGATTGGTTGGCGAGCGGAGCAACTCATTGGCTGTTCACACTCACTGATGTCATGGACGTACATGAGGTGCCATTTTAAACTCCTATAACTCGAGTTTAAAAGCTGTTAAAATGTTATATGCTTTTCAGTGTTCAGGAAATGAATGTATTATTATATTAAAAATGTTTAACCATTTATGAACTATGCTTTTACTCAAATGCTCCATCTTAACCCACTCATTTTGGACTTGCTCAGAGCGCCCTCTCATGTTTGAGAAACTAGAGGACATTACAGAGTGGTGATTCTCCTCTCTGCAAGTTCTCTGAGGTTACTATAATGATCTAGGCTACTTATGCTAAAGCTTCTCACTTAAGCTTCATATGTAAATGGTTTAGCTAGTCACCTGACACGGTCATGCTGGTTGACCAGCATACCAGCATCCAAAACACAACACATCGTTGCTGTTGGAACAAAACCTTGTATCTCCATTTTTGTTGTTTTGTGGCTTTTAACAGAATTTGAAAATGCCAGCTGACGTTTACAGTGTGCCAAAATTTCCTAATATACAGACCAACAGAAATGCTCCAAAAGTGCTTGGGAAAAAATTTAGTTCCATTAACTTCCATTCAAAGTTGAGAAGGTTTTTTCCTTCTCCTGTAAAGTTCACATTTTGAACATATGAAGTTTTGTTCCGACAGCAGTGATATGCTGGTTTTGCTGGTGACCAGCTATTTTTTTTTTTTTAACTGAAATAGTTTTAAAAAATGTCTTTGTACACTTATAAGGTAGGTAGACCCCTCTGAACAGTAGCTATGTCCCTGGTCTAACCCCACTGAACCTCCAAACAACTTCTACGCCCAGTCGATCACACACTACATATTAATGCTATGAAATTAGCCGACTGTTAGTTCCAGTCCTGAAAAGAGTTTGGAGATCCTGCTTGGATTCACAGCTGTTCTATCTCCTGCAGGGCCTGTAGCCCCCCCAAGCCATCCTGATCCAGTACCCAATCCTCTGTGTTCATGTTAAAAAAGCCCCCAGGTATTTAAAAGAATACTCCACTTGAGAAAGCTAATGTGGCTACTAGTAAAGAAAAGCTCCAGGCCTCGCAGTTTTGAGGAGCACCACGATACGTGTAACAGGATTAAGTGTTTAACACACAAAAAGAGTAATCCATTACAGTTACAGTAATCAGATTACTGATACTTTTGAAAACATAAGGTGATTACTTGGGATTACATTCAAATTTTTTGAAGAGGAAAAACCCACACTAGAGAGGGGGGTGGGTGGTGGGTTCAAGCTCTTTTTTTTGCAATAACAGAGAAAGAGAGAAAGTGTAATTCGGAGAAAATCGAAGAGAGCAGCGAAATGTGAGACAGCAAGCATGGCCTCGGGTAGGAAGGCTCTCAGCAGATGGAAACACAGCGAAACATAATGTCAATATGCAGCCTTTAAATGGAAAGTGATTAAAATATAATGGAGTGTAATCGAATCGGAATATGTTCCTGAGATCGTATAAGCCTTTTTAGTACGGCGCGGATTACAGTTTTAAGATAATCAGTAAAACGTAACTGAATATGTTTTGAAAGTGACTTTTCCAAACCTGACACTGCCCATTCTGAAGAAGTGCTATGGACAGACACAGGGCCGCTTCTTGCTATAAGCAGTATAAACAACTGCTTAGGGCGCCCGAGCCCCATCCTAAAAGCGTCTAAAAATGTTAAAATGCATCATTTGTCCAGCAAAATCAGTCCAAAAAAAATTCTGTTCAAAACTGACCCAAATACAACAAATTCTGTGCAAACCTGACCCAAATCCAACAAATTATTTCCAAAAGCTGACCTACATCCAGCAAAATTCTGTCCAAAACTGACCCGAGTACAACAAAATCAGTCCACAACTGACCTGAAACCAACAAATTCAGTCCAAAGCTGACCCAAATCCAACAAATTATATCCAAATCTGACCCGAGTGCAACAAAATTCTATCCGAAACTGACGTAAATCCAAGAAAATCAGTCCAAAACTGACCTGAATCCAACAAAATTCTGTCCAAAACTAACCTGAATTCAACAAATTAAATCCAAAACAGACCTGAGTGCAACAGAATTATGTCTAAAAACTGAAGTGCAACAAAATTGTGTTTGGTCAGTTGTGTTGTGTCAGAAACTGACCCACACAACATATTCTGAACGAAACCAGTCTCTCATCTTGCCAAATAAAGACAGAAAGATATTTCTAAAAATTGCACCTGTTAAATCACAGTGTAGCTACAACAAATCCTGGTTGTTATTTCATATAAATTATTTAAGACTGAATTATTTGTTAGATTATTTTAATATGAATTAGCATTTATTCAACTTTGTCTTGATTGAAATGAATAAAGTATGCATTCTTTTTCATGTTTGCACACAAAAT